ATATATTTTAGATAAGTTTACAATAATTTAATAATAAATATATCTTTTTCGTTAGCTTCAGAACGATTTTTGCGAAATTATTGCATACTCAAATTTTAGCTTGTCTTATTCAGCAAAAAGAGCGTTGCTATTTAAGCCAAAAATCGCAAGTTTTATCTATTCGACACGACATATATAAATCTGGTTAATCCTTTTCTAAATTGTGAATTAAAGACTCACGTTACATAACAAGATTTTAATGAGACAACATTTAGCTGTGTAGAGAAAAACTGTCTTCCTTTACATCGCAATGTTATTGTAATTCATCAGTTATTGACGTGTAACTCAACCATTTCGTGTTTCTTAATTTAATGCAGTTCGCATGTTTTAATAAAGATTTATTTAATTTATAGGTAGTAGGTTGGTAGACAGCAACCACCCAGGGAAGTACTACCGTCCTGCCAGATGACTGTGAAACAGAAACCTGTAACTGTTTTGCATGATGGTAGGATTGCTGGTTTCTATTTCTGTCTCATAAACACGCTAGATAACAGGGATATCTTGCTACTCCTACTTACACTTTGGTCACACTTCACAGACACGCACATGCATATATATATATATATACATACATCTAGGTTTTTCTCCTTTTTCTAAATAGCTCTTGTTCCTCTTTTTTTCCTCTATTGTCCATGGGGAAGTGGAAAAGAATCTTTCCTCCGTAAGCCATGCGTGTCGTATGAGGCGACTAAAATGCCGGGAGCAATGGGCTAGTAACCCCTTCTCCTGTAGACATTTACTAAAAAAGAGAAGAAGAAAAACTTTATAAAACTGGGATGCTTGAATGTGCATGGATGTAGTGCGGATGGCAAGAAACAGATGATTGCTGATGTTATGAATGAAAAGAAGTTGGATGTCCTGGCCCTAAGCGAAATAAAGCTGAAGGGGTAGGGGAGTTTCGGTGGGGGGAAATAAATGGGATTAAATCTGGAGTATCTGAGAGAGTTAGAGCAAAGGAAGGGGTAGCAGTAATGTTGAATGATCAGTTATGGAAGGAGAAAAGAGAATATGAATGTGTAAATGCAAGAATTATGTGGATTAAAGTAAAGGTTGGATGCGAGAAGTGGGTCATAATAAGCGTGTATGCACCTGGAGAAGAGAGGAATGCAGAGGAGAGAGAGAGATTTTGGGAGATGTTAAGTGAATGTATAGGAGCCTTTGAACCAAGTGAGAGAGTAATTGTTGTAGGGGACCTGAATGCTATAGTAGGAGAAACTTTTAGAGAGGGTGTGGTAGGTAAGTTTGGGGTGCCAGGTGTAAATGATAATGGGAGCCCTTTGATTGAACTTTGTATAGAAAGGGGTTTAGTTATAGGTAATACATATTTTAAGAAAAAGAGGATAAATAAGTATACAAGATATGATGTAGGGCGAAATGACAGTAGTTTGTTGGATTATGTATTGGTAGATAAAAGACTGTTGAGTAGACTTCAGGATGTACATGTTTATAGAGGGGCCACAGATATATCAGATCACTTTCTAGTTGTAGCTACACTGAGAGTAAAAGGTAGATGGGATACAAGGAGAATAGAAGCATCAGGGAAGAGAGAGGTGAAGGTTTATAAACTAAAAGAGGAGGCAGTTAGGGTAAGATATAAACAGCTATTGGAGGATAGATGGGCTAATGAGAGCATAGGCAATGGGGTCGAAGAGGTATGGGGTAGGTTTAAAAATGTAGTGTTAGAGTGTTCAGCAGAAGTTTGTGGTTACAGGAAAGTGGGTGCGGGAGGGAAGAGGAGCGATTGGTGGAATGATGATGTGAAGAGAGTAGTAAGGGAGAAAAAGATAGCATATGAGAAGTTTTTACAAAGTAGAAGTGATGCAAGGAGGGAAGAGTATATGGAGAAAAAGAGAGAGGTTAAGAGAGTGGTGAAGCAATGTAAAAAGAGAGGAAATGAGAGAGTGGGTGAGATGTTATCAACAAATTTTGTTGAAAATAAGAAAAAGTTTTGGAGTGAGATTAACAAGTTAAGAAAGCCTAGAGAACAAATGGATTTGTCAGTTAAAAATAGGAGAGGAGAGTTATTAAATGGAGAGTTAGAGGTATTGGGAAGATGGAGGGAATATTTTGAGGAATTGTTAAATGTTGATGAAGATAGGGAAGCTGTGATTTCGTGTATAGGGCAAGGAGGAACAACATCTTGTAGGATGTGAGGAAGAGCCAGTTGTGAGTGTGGGGGAAGTTCGTGAGGCAGTAGGTAAAATGAAAGGGGGTAAGGCAGCCGGGATTGATGGGATAAAGATAGAAATGTTAAAAGCAGGTGGGGATATAGTTTTGGAGTGGTTGGTGCAATTATTTAATAAATGTATGGAAGAGGGTAAGGTACCTAGGGATTGGCAGAGAGCATGCATAGTTCCTTTGTATAAAGGCAAAGGGGATAAAAGAGAGTGCAAAAATTATAGGGGGATAAGTCTGTTGAGTATACCTGGTAAAGTGTATGGTAGAGTTATTATTGAAAGAATTAAGAGTAAGACGGAGAATAGGATAGCAGATGAACAAGGAGGCTTTAGGAAAGGTAGGGGGTGTGTGGACCAGGTGTTTACAGTGAAACATATAAGTGAACAGTATTTAGATAAGGCTAAAGAGGTCTTTGTGGCATTTATGGATTTGGAAAAGGCGTATGACAGGGTGGATAGGGGGGCAATGTGGCAGATGTTGCAGGTGTATGGTGTAGGAGGTAGGTTACTGAAAGCAGTGAAGAGTTTTTACGAGGATAGTGAGGCTCAAGTTAGAGTATGTAGGAAAGAGGGAAATTATTTCCCAGTAAAAGTAGGGCTTAGACAAGGATGTGTGATGTCACCGTGGTTGTTTAATATATTTATAGATGGGGTTGTAAGAGAAGTAAATGCGAGGGTCTTGGCAAGAGGCGTAGAGTTAAAAGATAAAGAATCACACATAAAGTGGGAGTTGTCACAGTTGCTCTTTGCTGATGACACTGTGCTCTTGGGAAATTCTGAAGAGAAGTTGCAGAGATTGGTGGATGAATTTGGTAGGGTGTGCAAAAGAAGAAAATTGAAAGTGAATACAGGAAAGAGTAAGGTTATGAGGATAACAAAAAGATTAGGTGATGAAAGATTGGATATCAGATTGGAGGGAGAGAGTATGAAGGAGGTGAATGTATTCAGATATTTGGGAGTGGACATGTCAGCGGATGGGTCTATGAAAGATGAGGTGAATCATAGAATTGATGAGGGGAAAAGGGTGAGTGGTGCACTTAGGAGTCTGTGGAGACAAAGAACTTTGTCCTTGGAGGCAAAGAGGGGAATGTATGAGAGTATAGTTTTACCAACGCTCTTATATGGGTGTGAAGCATGGGTGATGAATGTTGCAGCGAGGAGAAGGCTGGAGGCAGTGGAGTTGTCATGTCTGAGAGCAATGTGTGGTGTGAATATAATGCAGAGAATTCGTAGTTTGGAAGTTAGGAGGAGGTGCGGGATTACCAAAACTGTTGTCCAGAAGGCTGAGGAAGGGTTGTTGAGGTGGTTCAGACATGTGGAGAGAATGGAGCGAAACAGAATAACTTCAAGAGTGTATCAGTCTGTAGTGGAAGGAAGGCGGGGTAGGGGTCGGCCTAGGAAAGGTTGGAGGGAGGGGGTAAAGGAGGTTTTGTGTGCGAGGGGCTTGGACTTCCAGCAGGCATGCGTGAGCGTGTTTGATAGGAGTGAATGGAGACAAATGGTTTTTAATACTTGACGTGCTGTTGGAGTGTGAGCAAAGTAACATTTATGAAGGGGTTCAGGGAAACCGGCAGGCCAGACTTGAGTCCTGGAGATGGGAAGTACAGTGCCTGCACTCTGAAGGAGGGGTGTTAATGTTGCAGTTTAAAAACTGTAGTGTAAAGCACCCTTCTGGCAAGACAGTGATGGAGTGAATGATGGTGAAAGTTTTTCTTTTTCGGGCCACCCTGCCTTGGTGGGAATCGGCCAGTGTGATAATAATAAAAAAATATTTAATTTACATTGAGTTAGGTCACATAAACCTACGAAAAACAAGCCATAATAGAGTTGACATCAAGATGGCCGAAGGTAAATAAGAAACGTGATAAAGTTGACGTTAATACTTCTGAGGCGATAACGACTGTGGTTATTTCTGTCAGTGCGACAGTGATTGCCGACGATTATTTCCCACTGACAGTTTAATCACTAAAACAATATTTAGGAAAAAGACTTCTTGAATGTTAATTTACAGGTAAAAGTCAACAATTAATAACCTTTGTAAAGTGATGGGCTTTAAATCTAATCAACAAAAGCAGTGATGAATTGGATAATGATTTTAAGATTCATTTATTCGTTTCAAGAATCTGTAAGTCAACAGAGAAGTGATTTCTCTCATTGTTATCAAAAGTTTCGTTGTTTCCCCAGGAACAGACCAGAGGCGGATAAATCCAACAAACACAAGCCAGTGAACCCAGCTGGGCGGTTAGTACACTGAAACATTTTAATCCACTTGTATTCTTTATTTCTTTCTCCTCTGTCGCGTTGCACTGTGTGATGCTTGCCATTTTGCACGTGCTGTGAGTATATAATGAAATATTTGAAGATAATTTACATTTTTAATTTACTTATGAATTAACCACCATTAGCTGTAAATTACCAAAAATGTTTTCTCATTGTTACCTTTAACTTTTAAAAATTCTCGAAGAAAACCAGGTTTTTGCATTTAACATATATTATTTTACACACTGTTGTAAGGGACAAGAGCACATCAAATGAAGGAGTTTAGCAGATGTGATGACACTTGTGTTAGAGCCATTATATGTGGTAGTGGTGTCGAAGATACTGAATAGCACACCTGTAGGCTAGGAGGGAGAGGCAACAATGTGACAAGTGCTTAATATACATCACAGTAACAGATGTCAGGTTACCGCATGGGACGTCCTGATTTTCTCCTGCCTAACGTACTATGCTGTTTACATGATCAGTCAGTCCGTCCTGGACCATGTAATGAAAGTGAATGTTCTTTGTGAGTACAAAGGTGCAATGCTGTATGTTGTTTTTCAGGCCTAGGGACTGTGCTGACCACTTAATTAGTGGCTCCACCACCAGCGGCGTATACAAGATCTACCCCTTCACGTGAGTAGCCAGACTGGACTCTTACTTTCTCTGGTGGTAACCATTAACTGTCATTCATTAGGTGAGTATTATCTAATAACAACCACGGGTGTTTTGATGATTTTAGTCGTCAGGAGATAGGACAAGTGTCTCCTGACACGGGTCTCAATCACACAGATGACTCGTTTAGCTTCAATGACCAGGAGTATCCATGTTCTTGAGAAAACCTGTATCAGGACAATCATTGTTTATGTTCAATGAAATAGGACCATCACGTGTACCACCTGCTCAAAGACACAGCAGTCACAACTCTTTGGTACAAGTTAATTCTTTATCACCTGCTCGTTGAAAGTCGTCTCACTACCTGAGTCTGTTCATTAACTACTACCATAGGTGTATGTGGTGATAATTATATGTGTATCACCATAACAGGTGCACATGCAACGGGCCCGTGAGGGTATGGTGTGACATGGAGACAGATGGAGGTGGTTGGACTGTGTTCTTGAAGCGTCAGAAGCAATTTAGACAGATGAACTTCAACCGCACGTGGGCCGAGTACAAGGATGGCTTCGGTGACCCCAGTAGGGAATATTGGCTAGGTACGCTTCTATTTACAATTTATTATCTGGTGTGAATGTTTCAATAAATAAAAGACCATTTTTACATTAAATAACATGTGCCTTTATTGTTGGTCAAGACGTGTTTAAAAGTATTTAATGTTTAGAACTGAGAAATATTAAAGAGTTATTATTCACATTGTAGGTAACGAAGCTCTGTACAAACTGATCGCCAGCCGAGAGTACGCAATTCGTCTGGACCTCAAATACAAGACTGGGATTTCTCAATACAACACTTACTCCATTGTCAAAGTTGCCAACGAAGCAAACAGGTGAGATGGAAAGTCAACAGCACGAGTTATCACTGAGATGCAATACTATCTATGATATGCTGCAAATCTCTGGATGTAACCAACAACAGGCCTTATCGCTCGAACACACAGCAGGTGTAGAGACTTGTTCATATGTTGCTATCTGCCCAGGAAATGAACCTGGTTGTTTCAATTGAAAACCATTGTTGTACTTAGCTACAGCTCAGTCCGTTCTTGAATTATGTGTTCTCATCTGTGAGATACAACGTACTTGATGAACTGTGTCCGTTGTTGAACTGTTTGCGTAGCTGTCACTGCAAGGCTGGGAAAGGCATCGCCAAATGACATAATAATTTAACAATTATAATTAAAAATGTCTTTATTTCTACAAGTAAATGTACAAGGTATACAGTCCTAGCTGACATCAATGACATATTACTATATAGAAAGTCGCTTGTTATGCAGAGCATATCGGACAAATTAAGTCAGTTTTGTTCCAGGATGCGACCCACACCAGTCGAATAACTCCCAGGTACCCATTTTACTGATGGGTAACATAGACAACTGGGCGTGTTTCTATCCTCGCTGGGAATCTAACCCTGACCTCGCCGTGTGAAGAGAGAGCTTTAGCCACCAGGCCACGGGGAACCGTACTTAAGTCTAGTCCCATCTACTTAATGCAAGCAAAGGAATACTTCAGAGTGCAGCATAAATTTCTTACACTGTTAAATATCTATATATGATGAATCACTATTTAGGGTTTTCCTCTTCAAGGGGGCGCCTTGCAGTGGTGAAGAGGCTCTTGGTCTGAGGAATTGAACCCCCTGATCCCTTCGGTCTTCTTCCTCTAATCGAACCTAATTACTCCCCAATCCTCTCCTTCCCTGTCCTATTCTCCCCTTCCCTATCCTATCCTTCCCATCCCTCCTTTCCCAATCCTCCTCTCCCCATTCATCCATTTCCCTCTCCTGTTTTCAGCCTTTTGGAATTTTCCCTCAGGCATTCTACTTCCTAGTCCTGGGAAAGAGCTGTGGGGTCCATCCCATTCCATTGACGTCCTTGGTGGTAGTGTAGTTTGCCGTGTAAACTAGATCGCTTGGAGATCCCGATCCCTCTCCAGTCTATCGGGTGTCTTTCAGGTGACTGATGTGTCTCTGGTGGCTGCCTGTTGGATTCCAGGAGGAGGTGGCCGAAGGAGGTATGCTTTGAGGCAGGTTTCCGGCCACCCTCTCTTTTGTCCGCCGAGGTGACTCGGTAGTGAGGTTGCTCTCCCAGATTGTTGGTTAACTGGCATGAAGGGTAGGGTATGGCATGGGTTCTGTGCCGCATCTGCACTTTCGGTTGTGCTGAGGTCCTCTTGGGCTCGAATGGGGGGGGGGGGGACTTACAGTCCTTTCCCAATAGGAGCTATTCATCCACATTCCCTTCCCTTTTTTTCTTTTCTCTTTTCTTTTATTTTCTTAGAAACAAAAAAGAAGAGAGAGACCTAACCATGGAGACCCAAGTCGATGAAACTGCTTCTTCTGAGCCCCATTTTGTAGCAGCTCCTTTTTACGACCCTGTCATGTTACCAGACCATCCTTCGGACTTTGACCATACATCCTGGTGCAACAGTTTTCAGACCGTCCACCCTCCTCAAAACAGACCACTTCCGGTCCTGCATCTAAACTACCACGACCAGTTTTGATAACACTGCTTCGAATACCTCTCACTCTACTCATAAAAGACCAATGCGATAATCGCTCCCTTTACATACTATGCATCATAGTACACAATGGACTAGGTTTTTCACTCTGCAGCCGACATCTTCCTCAGACTATTTTCATGATCATAGTATCAACAAGGCACTCCTGCACCATGTTCATCGAAATCTTACGTTACATGCTCTCAAGAGTGGTGCACTCATCGTCAGGGTACAAAATGCTAGCCAAACTCACGATCTTTCTCTCCTTACCACCATATTTAGTATTATTGCTGTAACAATTCAAAAACAACATTCTCTCAGTTCTTGTAGTGGTACCGTCATTCTACCTCATACCACTGTTCAGCATAATTTCCAGACATGTGGTGACGACATTCTGGAACAGTTTGAACTCCAAGACCTCCCAGTTCTCAAGGTAGACACTTGTATATTACCTGCCCGTGGACGGAGACGCTACCCCTGCAGTGTAGCTTCCTTAACTTTTGATTGCCATGAGCTTCCGTCCTCGGTTTATACCGTGGGACACCGTTTACAAGTTTGGCCACCCATGAAATATTGCAGGTCCATGGAAGAATGTCCAGTCTGTGGTGCTGACGACCATACCGGTACGTCTTGTAGTCTACCTCCCTCTTGCCTTAATTGTAATGAAGCCCACCCATCTTATTGTCGTCGTTGCCAAGTATACTTAAATGAACAAAAAATCCGTTACCTAGAGACAGAAGGCTTTACTTAAGCCATGGCAGTCTCTCATCTACGCCTCCAGGGAAGACTTCAGTGTATTTCTTATTCTCGATTTACTAAGAGGTCCCCCAACCTCTGGGCCCCAACTCCCGCAGTCTTCCCTGTGGTTACACCTTCCACAGTCACCTCTGTATCTCTTTTGCAGCCCTGGACTTTGAGGTTACACAGCATCCGGGAAATGAAGGTAATTAGGTTTGATCCAGGGAAGAAAGAGGCAGCTTCACTTACTCGGATAAATAATCTTCACTAACCTCAAAGCGTAGTGATATTAGGTTAAAAATTTAGATATGATTATTTTACCGTAACAGAAGTAAACTACACTTACTGACTGGAGGGTTAGTACTCATGGGAAGTCACTAGTACAACTAACTGCCCCGTGGCCTGGTGGCTAAAGCTCTCGCTTCACACGGCGATTGTTCGGGTTCGATTCCCAGCTATGGTAGAAACATTGTGTTTCTTTGCACCGATTGTCTATGTTCACCCGTCAGTAAAGTTGTTACCTGGGTGTTAGTCAACTGGTGTGGGTCGCATCCTGGGACAAAGGTAACCTAATTTGCCCGAAATGCTCTACAAAACAAGCATCTTTATATAAACTAGTATGTCACTGATGTCAGCTAGGCCTGTATACCTTGTACATGTCCTTGCAAAAAATAAAGATATATTATCTATGGTACCAAACTGGTAGAGTCCGGTGGATAACACTTGCTCTAGGATCCAGCCTTCCGTTCCCCGAGTAGTTGACAATCGTGTCATTACTATTTTTCTGTGGGACAGAGGTAAATTATTCGTCAGTGTAAATAAGGAGCTGGTTGTTACAGTAGTGTCTGGTTCATCACCACAGATACAGGGTGAGTGTCCAGGGGCCCGTGTCTGGGACAGCGTCCAGCAACTGCTTCAGTCTGAATTCCTTCTTTACCACTTACGACAATTATGGCGACATTAACACTGGTAAGTTGTTCAACTTAACTATTTTATTTCCTTGAAATTTTGGAGAGAGATGAACCTATCATGAACAACAAATCAGGAGCATCCATTCACACTCTGACCTGATACAACAGTATTATTCTTGCTGTCACGTAAAAAAATATTGCAAAAACAAAATATTAACTATCAGAGCCGTATATAAAAGAATGATCACTTTTTTAGCGTGTATGAATATACAAAATTCCTAATATAAACTTTTTTTATTAAAACCATTGTGCTAAATTTGTGTAATGAATCAGCACACATTCTATAATGATGAACAATTCATTCATTATCATGCATCCAATAGGCTGAGATACCAGTGGAACACAATCTAAAATTTAAAAGGATTAAATTAGGTTAAAATAAATTTGTGCCCGAAACCTTTCAACGAATTCATTGAAGTAAAACTTCCTGAACACTTGTAATACTCGTGGTTGTTATTATCCTTATTATTATGGACTCTTCACTGACAATATGTTATAATGTTAAGTTATTTAAAAAGGGGAAAAAAACAAAGTTGTCTGTTCGTTAATACTTAGTAGAAACCTTTTGTACAAAACTTTTTTTCCACAACTTTAATTCCTCATGACACTATTTAAACCACAGGAAAATATGACTTATGAAAGCATAAATTAGAGGTGGAAAAGGGAGACACAAAAGAACTTGAGATATATGGTTCCATTTCAGCAATAATAAGAGATTTGTTCTTACTATTCCCAGATGATATGTCAGATCCAGCACTGATGACCTTTTCCAGTAATCAAGCTTTTTTTTTTTCCTCCTAGAGATAGAAATTATGCAAGACTCTTACGTCTTTGTCATTATCTCATCCACAGGAAAGTGTGCGGTAGCTAGAGGTGGCGGCTGGTGGCACCACAGCAGCTGCCGCTACGGTAACCCAACGTCACCCTACAACCAGGGCTTCAACTACACTTGCTATTATACCACCTCCATGGTCACCAAGGTGCAGGTGAAGATCAGACCTAAGGTCTGCGACACTGCCTTCAAGAGTGTCTACCTCAACTCCAAGAACTGTGGCGGCTCAAAATAATAATGATGATTCACGAGAGTTGTTCTGATGCACGAGTCACAGTGTGAAGCAGTGAATGACATTCTGATGTACGACCACCAGCAACAATATGACAACTGTAACTATCAATGACAGTGTGACGCATCATGTATGATTACAAGCAACAGTGTGACGCATAACCAAGAGCAACAGAATGACACATAACCAAGATGCACGACTGTCTGATACTCGATCATCATTAACAGTGGGGTCGCATTACCACAGTACGGAGGGACGAATCAAGAATGACCACAAACAACAGAGTGACGCAGAAGATAGTGACGTATACCCACAAGCAACAGTGTGACGCACAATGACAATCACAAAAAACAAGGTGAACCACCACGGGCAACAGTGTGGCATACGACAACAAGATAAAGTGTGAGGCACAGTTGTGAGAGTGTGAGGCACAGTTGTGAGAGTGTGAGGCACAGTTGTGAGAGTGTGAGGCACAGTTGTGAGAGTGTGAGGCACAGTTGTGAGAGTGTGAGGCACAGTTGTGAGAGTGTGAGGCACAAATAGCAGTACCACCGCACCTTTTCCTACTTGTCTCATTCTGTATTAACTCACAAGTACCAAATATTTCCTAAATAACTTCTACGCTGCAAACCAAAAAGGTGTTACACTTTTTAACTCATGAAAGAGTCAACCAGAACAAAAAAATAAGATTTGTCAGGCACCACATAACCCCCGGCTGACTTTGGTAGAATAATAAAAACTTTTCTTTCTATTATTTTTACCATATATTAAATTTGTTGTAGTTATTTTAAGTAAATCTGATTATAGTGTTTTACTGAATACAATTTATTGCATCATGCTTATTGTTTTCATTCCAACAACTCTTATACAATAGAGTGAACATAGTCATACTGCACACCTCAGTCTTATGCAGTAGAATGAACAGTCATACATAGCACTGACGAGCTGGATAGTTTGTCTTCTTCAGATGATGGATTATAAAATCTTTGATTAAGAGAAAATCAAAAGAACGAAGAACTGGTTAATTTACATTTCTCCACAAAGTTTATCTCGTTCTCAGGAACCAGCACGATATATGCTTGATGATAAATGATTTTAGCATATTAATTTTCACCTGACTAAAACAATGGTTCCTCTTACGAAGAATGATTTTGCCTAACACCAAATAATGGATTTCAAAAAGTTAAATGAAAAGACACCTGTCAGTTCCCATTGTCAGTTCTGAATGTTTCAGTAAAAACAACCGAGAATAATTAATTATTTTACACATCATATCATCTTCAAAGATTCTAATTCATTCTCTCGAAAGAGAAGAGTTAAAAATGACAGCATTTTCCGCACCAACTGGAAACTACCGCGTCTTAAAAATTTTCTTTGGTTTGGAAAGTGGCAATGATAAATATCTTGAAAAACTTTAGAATATATTCCCTAATGGAACATCTTCATGATCCCATTGTAATTTCAAATGATATAACGACTCATCAGCAAAATATAAATTACATATTCTTGCCTCAAGAAAAAAAAAAAAACGGAAATTCTCAAATGAACTTTGGCATTATATTTCGCATAATTATTATAATAAAAAAAAGAAGCGCTAAACCTACAAGCGTCATACAGCATATTTCGTATAAGAGACCATAATGTTTCCATTTACAGAACATATTTTCCTTATTTTAACATTAGTTTTATTATTATTATGAAAACTAAGCACTAAACCTGGAAGAGTTATATAGCTCTGCAGGATAGAGTGTTCACACGGTTTAATATAATTGATCTGAAACTAGCAAGGGTGGAGAGTATAACAGAGGTGGAGTTTGTAAGGGCGTTGAGGAGTGTCAAAGGGAGTGCAACAAATCTGTTACTGTCAAAAAGTCAACAAGGGAGTCTGAGTCAAAGGTGAGGCCGTCAGCGAGGAGGGAAGATAAAGTAAGGGTGTTAGAACGGTGACGACGTCGGAGGTAAATTCTGCAGTGATAGACAGGGCAATCCAATAGAATATGGCAAGCTGAACTTGGAACCTGACAATTCGCACAAAGTGGAACTGGGTATCTCTCTATGAGGTACCCGTGAGTGAGACGTGTGTGCCTGATGCGAAGATGGGAAAGCGTAGTCTCCCAACCACAACACTGATGATAAGAAGACCAGGATCCTAAACTCGGCTTGATACAGCGTAATTTGTTACAAATTAGTTCAGACCGATGTTGTTCAACGTTGTGAAGGTGGCTAGAGATTACAGCAAAATAATCTGAGAATGGAATACTTCTGTATGAAATTGTAAGGTCATGGACCGCTGATTGCGCAGCAGAGTCCGCCTGCTCATTGCCCTGAACATTATCATGACCAGGGACCCAGCAGAGAATGATTTCTTTGTTTTGCTTGAAATGTGGTGCAACCAAAGTTGAATACGAAGAACAAGGGAATGAGGAGAATTAATTTTTTTTGGTAGCTTCCAAAGTACTAGATGAGTCCATGACGACAATAAATGTTGAGGTAGGCTTGGACGCAATATGGATAATCGCTATGACAGTTGCATACAGTTCAGCTATGAAAATGCTGGCAGAACACTGTCCGGGAACACTTCTGCAAACCCGATACCGTCAGAGGATTTAAAACCATCAGCGTAAACTGCAACGACATGAGAATGAGACGAGAAGTGGCTAATAAAAAAAAAAACGGAGCGAAAAGTAACTGAAGGTATTTAGGCTTTTGCGCACGGCAGTGGGGAAGAATAGACACGAACTGTCGGAACCTCCAAGGGTAAACTGAAATGTTACATGCTAGCTGAACATATAAAGGTGGCAACTGAAGAGAAGTCAAGAGCGAGTGAAGACGAAGAGAAAAGAGATGGAGTAAACAGGAGTGACGAACAAATAATAGACTTCTACTAACGTCCGTTGCTATCCTGTATGTAGAAGGATCATGAAAGCCAAGAGAGCGGACAAAATAACGGAGGCAACGGGCATCACGTCGATCGTTCAAGGAAGAAACTGTCTCCTTTGCATATAGGCTCTCGACAGGGGACAAGCGAAAAGCACCTAAACATGAACGTATTCCCTGATGATGGATAGGATCAAGTTTAGAAAAAGTTGCAGGAGAGGCCGCGGAAAATATCTGCGTCCAAAGGAGAAGATTTCGATCACCGCCCTCCTCCCACGAAAGATGAGCGAGGGCTTTTAAGACGTTCAGCCGGCTATGGCAAGTAGCTGTCATGGAGGTAATGTGAGGTTTCCAGGACAGCCGGCGATCAAACAGAAGACTGAGAAATATGACCGTATTACATTCCGGGATACGGGAGCCATACAGGTACAATGGAGTATCAGACACACCAAAATCTCTGGCGATAGCATTCTGGAGTGAGGCTGCTACTAGGCCACAGTCAGCGCCTGCACAAGCTATAGCAAAGTCATCAACATCAGATGATGATCAAATATTAGATGGGAGAACAGAGGTCAGGTCATTTATAGCAAGTAGAAAGAGAGTAGCGTTAAGGACACATTCTTGAAGGACATCTTCAACTTGGACAAAGTCCAGGGAAAGCAAATTATTTATCCGAAAACGGAAATGTCTCTTAGAAAATAAGTTTTTAAGAAAAAGTGGCAGATTGCCTCGGAAGCCTAAGGAATGAGTCTGGGTCAAGATGTTTTATCTCCAGGTTGTGTCAGATGCTTTTTTAAGATAAAAAAATACTTCGTAACTGAGTGGTTACTAGCAATGGCATTACAAATATATGTATCTAAGCGGAGTAAGAGGCGAAAGTGACTCGTGGAATGGCTATTGTGCGTCTCTAAATGCCTCACCAAACGTCCATTTACTAGACGCTCCATCAACTTGCAAACTGCACTGGTAAGAGCAATGGGATGATTGTATGAGGCGTCATATCCCAAAGTACCTGGTTTACGAAAGGAAGATTACCGGCAGTTTTTCTACAGCTGCGGAAGAACCCCTTGCGACCAAATAAGTTTAAAAAGACGTAGGAAGATTGCAAGGGCTGAAAGATGTAAATGTTGAAGCATACATATATGTACGCTATCAAGTTCAGCTGCCGACGATCGGCAAGCGGAAAGTGTTGACTCCAGTACTCGAAGCGTAAAAGGTACATTATAAGACTCTTCTCTGCTAGAAGAAAAGTTTAAAGACAGTAACTCTCTGACAGACTTGAAGAAAAGAAATGAGGGGCATAGGTGGAGCCCCCGAGAGATACGGACAAGATGATTTCCAATTGCTATGGCAACTTCGAGAGGGCAACCCTAAGAACCAGAGCTGGGTCTGGAGAGTATTTTCCACTCAGTTTCCATACTTTTCCAAACTGCACTCATAGAGGAAGTCAAAGTGACGGTAGAAACACAATACTGGCAGCAAGTGCGTTTAGCTTCTTGATTGCCACGTCGGAAGACCGCCTTCGCCCGCTTAAAATCTAGGAGTTGCTCTGTGGTCCTATTACAGCGATATAGGCCCCATGCAGCCCTTTTCAAACGCTCTGTACGATCACAAGTAGGAAAGCACCTAGGCACGCATTACTGAGGGTGCCTACCTGAGGTTCGAAGGATTGTATTCGAGGCTGTTGTTAAAACTGATTACAAAAATAGTTGTAATAGCTGAGATGATGATGACAAAGGAGCAGGTTTTTCACTAAAAGCAGTTTGACGCGAGTAAATGGCCAATTCGCCCGTTCAAACTGCCAACGTGAACTACGAGGAGGTCGAGAATACGTATGAGAAGATAGGAAAACGATCGCTGCCATGAAAGTCTAGAATCACTGACAGATAAAGTCGAGTGTAGTTGAGGAGGCGCAGATTGAGACATCTATGCAAAAGAGAGTTTGAGTGGACCGAAAGAGAAGTAAGAAGAACCTCTAACTGATTACCACGAGAGAGATGGCCATTAAAATCACCTAATAAGAGAGGAGAAGAAGGTATGAAAGAAATCAGAGATGTCACTTCCGGAACAGATAATAGCCGAGAAGAAGAAAGATATAAAGAAGAGACTGTTTACCACTTGTCTAAGTAGTTGAGGGGCTGCATTGTAATGCAGAGAAGTATGGACAAAGACCTGAGAATGTGATATACAGTGGCGCACAAGAAGTGCACTTTCATTAAAAGTCCTATAGGGAAAAGGATCAGATGAATGTAATAAGATATAGCCCGAGATGGGATGGAAAACAGCGGAGCGCAGTTTTGGTTCTTACAGACATAAACAGGGAAAAACTGAAAGAGCAACACCTGAAGGTCTCCCATATTACCCCTCAGGCCTCGAATACTCCACTGTAAATAAGCAATGATCGGCTAACAGAGCGTAACAGTAACATTTTACAGGTGTCTACAGACTAGGAGGGCCAGTAAAGTTAGCATGCAGTGGCAATGGGAAACTAATAAGGAGTGAAGTATTGGGATGACTTGAAGAAAGGCGCGGAAGTTGAGAATGTGAAGTGGCGGGGGATTGACCAGTTAACTGCGGAAGGGACACAGAGGCAGTTGTGGAAGGAGGCACCACCGAGGTCTGAGGCCATCTAGAGATCCTGTAATAAGAGAGCAGGGAGATTCTTCCTTGGAGGCGGAGATGAGAAACTGCTATGGCATGAGAGAAGCCCTCTTTCTCTTTAAGACAACAGATCTCTTTCTCTTAAGAAAATCGGGCAACGGCGAGAATAGGCAGGGTGTGCCTTTTTGCAGTTATGGCAAGAGGGAGGGTGACTGCAGGATGGCCTGTTATGTTCAGCTGCACCACAGACCGGGCATTCTGCCACTGATCTGCAATATCTTGCAGGGTGGCCGAAACGCCAGCATTTTCTATAATATTGCGGGGTAGGGATCATCT